TCATGTGACTCACTGAGAAAACGAAAATGCACATAACAAATCAGGCTAGAGTCTCAGCAGAGCCCAACAAAAGGACAGGGGGGAAACAGGATGGGATGGACTGTAATCAATGTGATACCCTATTTATGATCTTCCCCAAATACTTGAAAATGCAGAAGAGTCGTCACCTTGTTACTGTAGTGTGAGAGCTGGCTTTGAGAAGAAATCCTTAAATGTGTGAATTTACATTTTCTGTACTTCCAAGAAATTGGCCTGTCAGTTTTTCTAGCTGCCCTGATTGCACAAAATTTAAACCTGCTTATTTAATCATTCATGCAGACAAGCTAAGCAACAGGTTGAGGCTGGAGGCACAACCTGTGATAATTGCGTTTGCCTCACTCAAGATAGCCTTATCTTCATGACTTATTGATATCCTTATCTGTGCTTGCATCGATATTTCTGCACGAGTTCCGACTTCTTTTGCCACTGTTCCATAAACAATGGGGCATATGGTTTTGCTGATACTTCCTTTGCTTTCCTTGAATATCGCTCCTATTTTCTTAATGTATTGTGCAAGTCAGAGTTTATAAAATTAACTGAGTCACATTCTGCAACACGAAGAATCTTAGTGAAGTGCTAAGCTCCCTCCATAGAAACCAATTGATTGGGTGAAAAAAAAATCAAACAAGTCCTTTATACAAAAAAAGTAGCATTAAATATAATTAAATATGAAGATGCGTTAATACACTAATAATAGCTTCAATCATGTTTTGCTATGAACTTCTTCATTAAATATATTGCAAGCAGGATGTATTGCAGACATTGGTTAAAATATTGTTTCCTCATATATATTTTATTATAACCAGGTGAGGAAGGGTAAATAGGTTCAACTCTTTTCAATCTTCCTGGTTAGCCACAATAATCATTTAAGTTCTTTTAACAGGAGGCTATACCACTTTCCAACTAAAATGTAAGAACTGTTTTCACCAGAAAAATATAAAGAGTCAATTGCAAAGTTTTCTTACATGAAGAAAATAGCAAGTTTATTTCCTGATAATCCTTATATAAAAAAAAGACATTCTCACACACGTGTTCAGCATTAAGAAGTGATAGTGTCCAGTACAAAAGGAAGATGAAAGGGATACAAGTCTTTGGGATGCCCATGAGGTGTAAAGTTTTGACCTTTTGACAACAGTTATTCAACTGGTGTTTTGAATCATCATCAACAAATATTGTAGATATTATTTTTAAATTCTCAGTGTCTGGAAACTTTGCTTCTTGAGAGGTTTAGAGAGCCCTTTTCTCTACTGATTCCAGTTCTACAGTCAAAAATCCATCTACTGCCTTCTGCAGAAGTTTTTTGTTTAACTTTGCTAATTATCAGCAAGATTCCATCTCCAATAAATGAAAATTCACATCAAGGTGTAAACCAAAATAGGAGATGATGACTTTTTCATACCTGACTGTGTTGACTTGTTTTAGTGCCTTTGGTAAAATGTTCATTTCATTTCAGAGCAGTTTTGTTTATTCTGCATTGATTTCATGACGCTTGACTAAACCGTGTCATCAAGTAATCACTTTGGCCATTTTAAATCAGTGTTTTGTCCCTTTTTAAAACCATTTCCATAAAAGTCTCAAGTATTAAAATCACAATGTAATTTGAAAATCAATCATCCATATTTTTATCACCATGACAACATAAATACTGTTTGCATTGGAGATCCTACTGTGCCATTCTGACGTACTTTCAATAAACTTTGATTTTCATACGGACAATAGGTGACATTCCTTCGCCATATTAAAGGTACATTTGAATATATGGAAATAACTCTGTCTCAAATCTGTGATCAGTTCATCACGCGTACACTGGATTAGGGAAGAGAAAAAATTAACGAAGAAGCCTCACTCTTGGTAATTTTTATGTAATCCCTTGCTGCAAAGCCACATGTGGAGGTTGCCAGGTGAGATGCTTGTCTCAGCTGTGATGCCATGTGGCTTTATTGTTTTAAAGCCACACATAAAGAATGGGAAAAATTGTCTTATAAAATGTCTCTCACCACAGATGCTGCCAGACTTGCTGAGTTTCTGCATTATTTTCTATTTTTTTATAATAGAGAATGGATGCTTGGAAAAGAAAGACTAAGTCAAACGCATGGAATAGAGTTCCTTCGTTAGAGTATTTAGGAAATTAGGAGGAAAGTTATAGGGATCATTAATGAAATTGTTGCATTACACTTTAATTGGAATTCAGAGAAGTCGATAAAAACAGTGAATCTTATTATTTACAGTGCGATGAGCATGATCAAAGGAATGTTTGGAGAAGACAATAAGTGATGGTTATTTTGTACAATTATGACAATTCTTCTTTCAAATATGTTGCTGACACTGCGGAAAACGCTGGAATTATATTTGCACACAGAAAATGGCTTAGAGGCAGGTGGCTCCATTGTTCATTGGGAATAGAGAACAGACAAGGGGAATTCTTCTAGTAACCAGCTGGAGGAATGTCATGTGATGTGGTTGCTATGGAGCTGTACTATTCATTTCATGGTGCTGTTTGAACTTCAGTCTCAAGACTCTCAGGGGCTCCTTGCTGCAGTTGTCCTCGCATGTTCTAATGCTCTTTATCAGCAGTGCAGAGAAAGCTAGGTGATGTCACTGCAGCTGAGCTGAAAGCCAATCAGATAAAGAGTGAATAACATTTCTATGCAGGCACAGTGCTTCATCTCAGGTTTAAAGTGGAACTGCTGTTGAGAGTGCAGAGACAAAAAAAATTATTGCAGACACCATAGAATGATCAACCTTTAACCATTGCTCAGTGTGCCAAATATTCTTTTAATATTAGGCCATTCTCAGTGTCTAAAGAACGAAACCTTTCGGTAGAAGCTTAAATGAAATCTGCACAGTAAAGATTGAAATCTGTTTATTATTGGGAATAATGCAAGTTTAATGTGGCACAAAATATCCAGATGATTCACTTTAAACAATTTTAGTTAAGTTGTAAAACACAATAAAATACACACAATTGGAAAATAAAGCATGTCTGTATCAGAAACTTTTCTAAAAAAAAATGCTTTCTTTTTAGACAAGAAATAGATGTAAATGATTAGCGTAAAAGATCCTTAATTTGTTATTTTGTTTGTCAACAAACAGGGCAGAAAATTCTAAACTTCAGAATTGATCTGTTTACTCTAAGTCATCTTGCCATGCCACATTTACTCCTCATCTGTGTTGTGCTAAGGGCAGGCAGTGTATCAGACCATATATCTATGTGTTTGTAATTGTGATTTAACTAAATTGTTCTTTTGCTGAAAGTTCTGACAGTGGCGTAGGAGGGTGCTAAAAGTTGATTATATTCTCTGATGAATTAGGACACCATCTGCATTTAATTTACATAAATATACAATAGACATCCTCTATTTTCTGTCACTTTCCACATCTGTTGAAATGATGGAGACAATGTAAGCCTGTGCCAAAATATTCTTTTGCCCATATGTACTGAGACTAAGCTGAGGTAGCAATCCTCCCCATCCCCCATACCCAGCACTAAGCAATCCAAGAATCCAGAGCTATTCATAATTCATAAGTGCTGTGAACTGCACAGACTTGTATGGTTTCTGGCTCCATGTGACCCTTGATTTCATTATCTCAATTCTGTCAGTGCAAACGCGCAGATACTATCTTTCCAAGGATGTATTACATGTACTGGATTTTCTCATGCAGTGAAAGGATATTGTAATTTTTGAGGAGGGGCAGAAATTACTTCAACTGTTCAAGCTGTTCATGAAATATCTATACATTTTGATTATTACTACCAGAAGAGCGTGTGTGGAATTATTCAGCTATATTGCTTATTTTTATACACGGCTGTTGTTGTTCTTGTCAAGTGAGCCAAAATGCCTGAAGCAAACTATTTGTTATCTGTTTCTTGGGGTTATATCAAGGTGAGTAGATTTATCACAAAATAACAATCTGAATTTTTTCTGTGTGATATGTGGCTGTAAGTTCATTTGCAGAAACCTTTGTATTGACAGCGTATTATTCCATATTGACCATTGGGCTTCCATATTTCTTGCTTTTGAAAATTCAAATGGATGTCTATTAAGTTAGTCTGGCTCCAATAAAATGTTATCTGTCATGAGAAAAGGTGTCATAAAAGAAATGAGCAAAAGTGGACTTATCAGGGAATCCCAGCGAACACTGTAATTTTAATTTCATAAGGAAATACTCATTATTAGCTGTGTGACATGCAGGAGGGGTGAATTTTTAAGTTTTTATTATTACTAAACTTTCTGTTTCATAAGGTATTTATATTTGCAATACCTGTTATCAGACAAGTATTACTGTTTTGCAACTCCCTTTTAGATGCACATTTGAAAATGTCAGAATTTTTTCATTTTTTTAAAATATAGAGCAATATAGATTATCAAAGAGAGCTGAAAAAAGATGTCATGCAAAGTTCATTGTGAATATGTGAAATCAAAATCAGTCCAGCTATTGAGAAACACTGTATTGGCTATAAATCTATTAAAATTGTAAGTGCTACAATTCAGCCAAAATTTTATATAAATCTGAAAATCTAAATTAAAATACTTTGTCTTGTCATTTCCTGACTGTCTTAGAATTAAAATTGTATGGTTAAATAATATCGTTACATAATTAGAATCTCATTGTTCGTCGTATAAATAAATATTTCTGTTGGAAGTGAAATGCTTTATAAGCTATTTCATGTGTGTCTTTCACACTTCATTTAATCTGATTTGTATTAAATTTTAAAAAACGTGAAATTTGCATTTTGTAATGTCAACAACTTAACTAATTAAAGAATTAGGTTTAAAATGAGTTTAGGAACACTAGCTGAATGCTTTGAAATGTGACAATACACAGGAGGTTTTACAGCTTCTTCCATTACTACTTTCCATGATCTATCCATTTATTGGCAAAAGAATAAGATTGAAAAGTAATATTCAATGCTTTGGAAGAAAGATGGGTACTGATTTCAGTATTTGTCTTTTCAACAGTTCAAGAGAATGTTGAATCGTGAGCTCACCCATCTCTCAGAGATGAGCCGGTCTGGCAACCAAGTATCCGAGTTCATTTCCAACACCTTTTTAGGTAAGTCTGGTGTGTCACCTTTCCTTTGCAATATCTACAAGAGCTCAAAACAAAAATAGTGGAATTATTAATATTTTCTACAATTAAAACTTCTTAAACAACTAATGTATTGTAGAAGTGCTTTTATTCCACCAACATTGAAACATCTTATTTTTATTTTATTTTACTATTATTCCTATCTCACTGTCATTTCCTATAGTTTCAAGATTTCTCAATTACTCAAAATGGTTGACTTGTGAAGGTACACCAGCTTTTTACAAAAATAGTTCTTGTGATCCAGCAAATAGTCAGTTTGGAATTGAATTGAAAGCTGCAACATTGCTGTCACTATTTTTTGACTATGTTATTGCAGAGTGTATACTTAGAATTTCACCCTCAATATCACTTTTTAAGAAAAGAATTGAAAAGATGAAGTTTTATCATTTGGAATGTTCAAGAACAGTGAGAACTGTGGGATGTTGTTTCCTTATCACTAAATAGACAATCTGATATTCAGCAAACTTGAGCAAATATTGAAAGAAGGACTTTCCCACGAGCCACAAACATAATGGATTATTTTTCACTTTATCTGGAATTCTGTTACGATAACTTTCCCTCTGAACTTTCCTCTTTTAATCTACATAATCTATAAAGACAGCATCCCATATAGCATTCCACTCTTAGCACTGTCTTGTATGTTAATACATTCTTTCTCAAAAATTGAATGGCTCACCTACCTCGGCTTTTCTTTCCCCTTACAATTTTGATAATTTCCAACATTTTTGCTTTATTGCACAGAACGCCATCTCCTGATAGATCCTGATGACTTTCATTCCATTGCTTATGTAATAGACAGGCATCCAGTCTGCCAAGTTACCAACCAGACAACAAAGTGGAAAATCATCACTACAGTGTTTTAGAGTTCAGGCTTGGAATGACCTAATCACTTCTCTTCCAAGCTGATTTCTTGACTGAAACTGTAAATCCAGACACTGCTGTTCAACTAAATGTAAATCATCCCATGGCATTATTTGAAGAAATGTAGGCAGTTCTCACATTTTCCTGGTCAACATTCCTATGCTAACCAACACTACAAGGAATGCAAACAGATTATCTTGTACTTCATTTGCCATTTACGGATTCCTCCAATCCGGAATTGGATGCAGCCTTTGGTTACATATAAAGTTCAAAAACATAATCCATAAAAGCACAGTGGAATTGTTTGGGGACATGATTATTTGTTATATACGTACACATTCTATTGCAATCTAATCATGTTGCTGTCCTTAGAATAAGCATTGACTATTGTTAATAAACAAGATGCGACTGGCTCAGAACAACATTGATAGAGTCCTGAAAAGGTTTCCATGAGAAGTGGGCAAACTGGAAATATCAAAGGAATGAACTAAAATAACGATATACATTCAAGAAACAGGAGGACACTATTCAATAATATCATAGCTGACTGACTGATTGTAACCTCAAATCCACATCCTGATCATCTTTCACTGCCTTGCTCAATAAGATTCTATCCACCTCTACCTTTAGAGTCTGCTTCCACCAGCTTTCAGGAAGAGTTCCAAAACTCTCAGCCCTCTGTAAGAAAAAACATTGATTCGTCTCTGTTTTGAATGGGCGACCCCAATTTTTAAACGTGAATCCTGGTTCTTAATTCTCTCCACATCCAATCTGTCAAAACCTTTTAGGATCATATATGTTTCAATAAAGATGCCTCCTTACTAACCTAAACCCCAGCAGATACAAGCGTGTCCGACCTTTCTGCATAAGACAACAGACCGATTCCAGTATTAGTCTGCTTAACCCCCTTTGAAAGACTTCCAGTGCATTTACGTCCTTTCTTAAATAAGGTGACCAGTACTGTACATAGCACTGCAGATGTGAACTCACCAGTGCCCTGAATAAATGAAGCATAACCTCCCTGCTTCAGTATTCATTTTCCCTCTTAATAAATGATAACACTCTATCAGCTTACCTAATTACTTGTTGCACCTGCATACCAACTTTTGTGATTCATACAGTCGGATACCCAGATCCCATGGCAGCTCAGAGCTCTGCAATCTATCAAGCTTTGAATACTGTGTGCTCTTACTTAACAGTACAAAATTAGTGTATTTAATAATTTTTCACAGTCTGGGTTGTCTTTTGTCATTAAAATACTACCACTGTAATTTATAATTTTTAGAAATTATGGTGGGAATTTAAATTCCTGTGTAAGGAAATGTATTGGCAAGTGACTGATCTACCCAGGACCCCACACATGAACTTATCACTGCCAACTGAGACCGTGGAGTCCTCGCTTTCCTTGTGATCCTCAGAAAAGCACACATCATTTTTCTAACCCAACAGCAGAAAGTTTTGAACATGCTTGTTTCACCCTAATACAAGTCTAGTGTTTGAAAAAGGAAGCATCTTAAATTGGAACAATGCAGTTATTTTACCAACAACATTTTAACTGCTCACAAATGTGCTTGCCTGTCTGATTTCCACCAGCCAAGAGGAGGTAATATTTCTATCTGTTACGTGATGCAAACAGATGATCTTATATTGAACTAGAATTTCCTCAGAGCAGCTCTCAATCCATCACCATACTGTTATAGATGAGCCTATTCTGTAAAGAGCCAGCAATGGAGCAGATGTTCTGATGAAGACCTTGATCATCATTTAAAAAGCAAGATTCAGTGCTGGAAGAGTTAAAAATGTTATTCGACAGCCTCTAAGTTGGATGCCAACCAGGATGGTACTGAAACTAATTACTTCTGTGTCATGTCATTTTCTTTTTCTTTTTTTTTTACTACTTCATCCTGAATTTGCCCACTCTGTTGCTCTGTGCTTCATCATGGTCAATGTACAGAGCAATACCAGATTTAATGGAAAAACTAATTTGTATTTCTGCAACACCTAATCACATCAAGACACGAGCAGCAGAGTTTAGATGTTCTCAACTTTACTGAGGGTGGAATGGAGAGAGACTGGTTATTACATGTTAGTTCATTAAAGTTAGTGCTACTTTTAATCCTGCGCAAAATTCATGATCTGTTCTGAAGTGTCTGAAGGTATCTTCAACTACAATTAATAAGATAATTCCAAAATAATGACAGCTAGAAGAGAGAAAAGAATTGAAAATTTCCACATCAGTTTTGGATCTTTATCCCATTCTTCAAACTTTCTCTCACAATTATATATTATATAATGTATTATTAAAATGAACAAACATTGTAATATTCAGTTAAAATTGTGTGTATGTGGAGTAGGGGCCTGGATCAAGGCAGAAGGTTTGAATTCAGAAATCTTCCTATTCTACAAACACATCCTCCACACAGAGGATTTTAACTCCAACTGATTAAGGACATGATTGAGTCAAGCCAGCTATTTCTGAAGGCTTCTAAAATCGCTAATATCCCACCATCCCCAATATTTGCATTATTTTATGTCATTAAAAGATTAATTTTCTCCTAGTCTTACTTTGCCTGAATCTGGTAGCACAAACTTCAGTATTTTCCTGGAGTAGCTTTCTAATATTTTGTAGCCATTCTTCATTTGTAAGTCTGGTTGGTAAGTGGCCAAGTTAGAAGGCATCTGGTTTTGCTCTACTCCTGTCTGCATCTAACATTCTTAAGTTCCCCTTTAGGCAAAGAGAATAAGGGATTCATTGGTAGAGATCAAGAGCAGAAACATATGCTGAATATTTGTCCCTGTTTGCAGCATTTAGAGCTCACCCCCCCCCCCCCCCTCAGAAATCACCCAAAACATTCCATTTACTACATGCTGCTTTAATATGTTGCTTTATAGCCAAGCAAAGATCAGTTAAGTCATTGCAGGCAAGAATTCAAACCCGTGGCACTCTTAAACAAGGTAATTAAGAGTCACAGTAAATCATTGAGATAAAGTGTTTAGGACTTTTTAAAACTTACATTACAAGCTTATAATAGATTTGGATTGAATTTGTGGAGACGACAGGACAGGAGTACCACAGCCATGGCCAAAAGCCAGGGGCACCCCTGCTTTGGCGAATGGTGAAGGACAAGGTGGCACTTTGCCAAAAGCAACCAATTAAGTGATACCATTAGGACTGCCATCCAGTTAAAGATGGTGGCTCATAAAAAGAGCTACTGGTGCAACTGAGATTCAGCATCTTAACCATCCTGGTATTGCGACCTCTATTGGCCACTGTTTAGCTTGAATCTTCAGAAAAAGGGCACATATTTGGTGTGGCACTTCCTGGTCTCCCTGCAAAACATCAGGCCTTGCTTACATGGGTTAAAAAAAACCTCTGCTCCATAAGTTGCCCCTAATTGGCCATCTGGGCAGCCAGTTTGTCAAATTTCTTGCCACTGGTAATATAACGTGGTAGTGGATTGACTTCAGTTACATTCCACCCCACTCAACCCTACCCTAAATAGCTTCCCTTCCCATTTCACAAACACTACCTTCTAGCTCATTGCCAAAGGACCCATAAAATTTCAGCCATTATTTGAACTGAAATCCAGAAGTGTTTAATTGTCGTCCACGTTCTCTCATTTTATTTTATTTATTCATGGGAGATGTGGGTATCACTGCCTGAACCAACGTTTATTTCCCATCCCTAGTTGCCTCTGAGAAGGTGGTGGTGAGCTGCTTCTTGAGCCACCGCAGTCTGTTTAGGTTGGGTACACCCACCATGCTGTTAGGGAGTGAGTTCCAAGATTTTAACGCTGTGACACTGAAGAACTTGCAATATATTTCCATGTCACATTGGTAGTGGTTTGGAGCAGAATTTGCAGGTGTCGGTTTTCCCAAGAATATGTTGCTCTTGTTCCCCTAGATGGTAGTGGTTATGGGATTGGAAAGTGCTGTCTAAGTAGCCATAGCGACTTTCTATGGAGTTGTGTAAGACAACGAACATGCAACAAATCAAATTCATTAGTGATGGAATCACTTAAAATGATGCATAGGATTTCATATTGTATGCATAAATCAGCAAATTCAGGTTTTTAAAGCTGTCATGTTTAAAGGCATATGTC